TTAACATATTTAAGTTGTTTGGGAGAAAGGAGGAGGCAGCTGGCAAATCAGGAAAAGAAGAAAGTATTAGTAAAGAAGTCAAAGAAAGTCAGCTTCTAAAAATAAAAGTAGTTAGTCTTATCAAAATAGAATGCACAGGAGGAAATGGAAAAAGTGGGGAGTTAAAAGAGGACACAGCATAAAACCACATTAAGATTGGACTTCCCAAGAATCATGAGAAGCCACTGAAGGGCTTGAGGGACAGAGGGGGCATGAGTCGAGTTTTGTTTTAGGACTGACCTAGCTACCAAGGGAAAAATTAAATGGAGAGGCATTGGGATGGTCGTATGAAGAACCTTTTCACACTTAAGAAGACTACTATAATTCAAGATATAAATGATAGTGGCTTGAACCATGATACTATGGGGAAGAAAAGACTGTTAATTAAAACTAACAGAAATTAGTTATTGGATATAAGGTCTATGTGAAAAAGAACAGCAAATGCATTGGCATCAATTTGTTACTCATATGTATGCTCTGAACTATGTCTTAAGTTGAATATAATTGTTAAGTTGTGTGCTAAAATATTGAGGTAAAAACAAATGTTTATATTTTACTAAAATCTACCAGTTTAAATAATACTGATGATAGTATGTAAAAGAATATGGAAAGTCATCATGAGTAAAGATGAGTACAAGCAGGTTCATTTCATACCACATCATATTTCTTATCATTTTAGCTTTGGTCTGTGGTAAACTTATCCATTTCCCTCCATCACTGGAACATCTCCAAGGAATCATGTCCTGAAATATCAATGATCTTGGTAAAATCACCAACAGAAACTGAACTCAGAATAAAGGAAATCCTACAGAAAATACACCAGCTGATCCCGCCCAGACCCTTCACCCATGTGAACAGCACCACCAGTGCCAAACACAGCGCAGTCACCATCCTCAACCCTAGAGACACATACTGCAGGGGGGACCAGCTGGATATTCTCCTGGAGGCCAGGGACCACCTGGGACACAGGAAAGAATATGGAGGGGACTTTTTGAGGGCCAGGATGTCCTCCCCAGCTTTAAAGGCAGGCACCTCAGGAAAGGTGACAGACTTCAACAATGGCACCTACCTTGTCAGCTTCACTCTGTTCTGGGAGGGCCAGGTCTCCCTGTCTCTCCTGCTCATCCACCCCAGTGAAGGGGTGTCGGCTCTCTGGAGGGCAAGGAACCAAGGCTATGATAAAATTATTTTCAAAGGTAAATTTGTTAATGGCACCTCCCAAGTCTTCACTGAATGTGGCCTGACCCTAAACTCTAACTCTGAACTGTGCACCTACCTGTACGGGAGAGACCAGGAAGCCTTCTACTGCAAGAAGCCTCAACACATGCCCTGTGAGGCCCTGACCTATATGTCCTCCACGAACCGAGAAATTTCTTATCTTTCAGTCAAGGAGAAAAGCCTTTTCCATAAGTGAGTATATGTTTTAATATAATGAGAGGTGCTCCCAAGCGGAGCTACGTTGCTCATCTTAATATTAAGCATGATCTTCTCAGATGCCTCCTCTATTCAAGGTTGTAGTGAGACATGCAGTATCTGCATGGAGACCAGTGTCCATGACTGCACACCATAGTTTGCATTTTGGTTGAAATGGGCAGAAGGAAGGCTACACAAGTTGGAACTATATAATGTATATGCCTATAATTTTTAAGAAAATGGATTTTGTCACATTTGACCATGTATTTAATAGACATAGGTTTAACAAAATATGTTCTGTGAAAAACTCTTCTCTTATATGTTCAAATACATAACCAAAAAAGGATTCCTTGATAAGCGCATCATATGATCATGCTCCTTTACCTCCCATATCATATTCCACAGATCCTGCCATTCAAATATCCTGCATTCGTCCATTTCTCTCCATGTCCAGTGCTGCTTTCCAAGTTGAGACCATCATTATATCACCTACATGACTGTGACAGCTTTCTACCTGGTCTCCCTACCATCATTCATACCCTCTTGAACCTACTCTACACTGCAACCTGAGGAATCTTTCTAAAAAAAAAAGCCAGCTCCTATGGGGTCATCTTCAGTTATCTCATGATCAGAGATGCCTCAGTGTACATTGCTCAGGAAGGGAAGAATCCTTCAACCGCCCCACATCGTGATCTATCAGTTCCTAGAAGCCCTGGTTAGCTTCCTCTAACATCAGTGCCCACATTTCCTCTATCCATCTTGGCTGCAGCCACCCTATGATTTTCTCCTCTGCTGACAAAAAAAAAAAAAGAAGAAGAAAAGAAAAAAGAAAGAAAAAAACTGATGCTCACTCTCTTGTTTCTTTGTTCTCCACTGAAATGGGAGAACTCTTCATTCCTTAGAATGAACTATCGGGGCTTCTTCATGGGCCACTTTGAGGATTTGTAAAAGAAACCTGTCATTACAAATCCCAAAACTATGACCCAAGCCCTGTACACCTATTAGTCCTAGAATCTTTTATTCATTTGCCAACTTTCCATAAGACTCAGTCTATTTCCTTTTCACTTTCCAGTCTGTCAAAATCTATTCAGCTACCCCATGATGACTTATTTTCCCTACATTTGGTGACAATACAACGTTATATTCTGAGCAATCCCTTTCTTTGAAAATTTCAAACTTAGGCTCAGAGTCTTTTTTTGCCCTGCTTAAGCTTTCAAAAACTACACTTACGAGAAATAAGAGTAAAGACTAAACCTGGAAAAATAACATGCATTCCAGAATCTTACCCAGTTATCCAAAATGTGACTCCTTATCCATTCAACTCACCAAATCTCAAACTATTCTAAAATGAGGCAGAGAACAACAGAGAAGGCAGAGCTGGAGTGGGAGGGAAGGGAAATAACTGACTTATAGTTCTAAGTTGCTGGAGTCACAGGTGGAGACTTCAGACCAAACTGGAGAAAACTGTTCCTACCTTTGTGAAGTTCTGAGCATTTGTAGATGTTATCCAGATAACTAAAAGAGATGTCAACATCAGCAGTGCTCTTTGAAACATGGTAATTGAGGCCATGATGAGAGTCCTAGGAAAGACCACACAAGAAACACAATTACATGTACTCACTGTTTTATTTTTTAATCTCCTTCATGTCTAAATCACAGCAAGGATGAGACCATGTTTTACCATTTCCTTTCATGATGGGGCATAAAAAGAACCCCCTAGCAGAGAACAGAGTACATCTGTTGTACTGGGTACCTGAGCCCTCCTCCCCATAACCTCTCCCTGCCTGCCTCTATTTACACACATAATGTATGTTGGGTTGAAGAGAGGGTAGAGGTAAGAAAAGAAGTTTGACGTAGGAAGAGTAAGTCTTCATCAAGTGGAGGAAAGAAATACAGTGTTCTTTTATCCACACATCAGTGTGAACACTACTTTCTGACAGCCACATTGATGGATACTGAGGATACAGCAGTGAACACAGACAATACGTTACCTTTCTTCACATGATCCTCAAAAAGCAAATATGTAGGAAAATTGAACATATCAGGAAATATGGCTAAAGAAGGAAGCAGAGGCTCTGTGTTAAGGGGTCTATGTGCCAGGATAAGGAGCCTGGACTCCTGCAGAGAGTGATAGGGAGAAAATCAAGGTTTTCAAACAATAAAGCAGTTGCATTTGCAATTGGACAAGGTACTCTGGTAGTTGTGCTCAAGAAATTAGGTGAGATAAAACTTAGATTGACCAATTAGAGGTTTATAGTAATTTTAAAAAAGTATTACATGAACTTGAATAGGTGATGTGAAGGCACATAGGGATAATGCAAACTTAATAATATTATGAATTTAAAATTCTATGACACCCTATTGCATATCATTACATGTGAAAGATGAGTAGAACTGCCCTGGATTTCAGGTACTCTCAGCAAGATAGAAAGCCTTTCAAAAATCCCAATTTATTTACAATACCCAATATCCAAAATATATAACAGAAAAAATTACTTTCAGTTAAAGAAACTTAAAAATATCCTTCACTCATAAGCAAATGATGCCTGGTGCCTATGCTATGTGGACACACAATAGGCTAATCTATTGTTTTATTTTTTTTTTTTGAAGGTCCAAAGTGGGAGTTGAAATAATGAAAGATCTTGAACATATCGATGTCTTCCAATGTAAAAGTAAGTCCACTTTTTCCTATGGTGGGTAATGTTTGGCATGTGTCTTACACAGAGAAAAATTATCAGTGTTAATTCTTTTAGTTGTAGTTTTCCAGGAGCATAATCCCTAACAGGTGTCAGTGATTTCAATCATGCTGGGATTTATAGGGAGAAATCAACTCAAGGAAATTAGTTCAAACTGTTTATACCAGATTTAATCTTGATTTATTCTAAAAAATAAAATGAAGTATCCTACATTCATCTCCCACCATCTGAGGTGCTGTGCAAATGCCTTTGATAGCTTCAGAGTAGGAATACTATGGTTTTAGTTTCCTGATATCTGTTGGCATAACCTCCAACTTTTAGTTGGTACACTTAATTTTATATGGAGCTTCCATCTAATTTAAATATTTTAACGTAAAATACAAAGCAATATTATATATGAAAGCATATTTATATTTATTTATATCTTAGTATTAAATAACCATTTAAGCCTGAGTTTACCAGTAACATTAGTATCCTAGGCAATTCATAATGATATATTATCAATATTTATTCACTTATTCCTCAAGTGTTTATTGAGGGTCTAATAGATATGAGGCATCATGAGCAAATGAAGAAAAAAGCTGAGCTTATGATCTTAAAAAAAAACAAAAGATTGGGTTTTAAATCTCTATGAAGAAAGCAAAATACATAAGGTCTTATTTTAAAGTTAAATATATTTGACTGAGCCCTGAAGGATATCAATAGTCAGAGAAACTTCATAAAGATCGTGGGTAGAGTTGCCATATTGAACTAAATAATAATATAGGAAAGCAGTTAAATTTAAGTTATTTCTAATTGCATATATATATATATATATATATATATATATATATAACACACACACACACACACACACACACACACACACACATACACACACATTCAGGTAAAGAAAAAAATATCACATGGTTCATTCCCTAAAAAAGTGTCCCTTACTAGAATAATTTAATTTTCTGTCCTACATTTTTAATGTGAGAACTTTTTTACTTGATAACTCTAGTCATGAGCAATTATGTGCATAAGCCAATGGAGTGAGCATGTGTAACAAAAGATAGGGCTAGAAAGAGAAAAAACATCTAAGTAAATAAACTGTGCTGCAGATTACAGTGTTTATTTAGAAGGCTAAAAAAAGACCAAATGTAGAGGACAGGGGTATGATCTTCTTTATGTTTTAAAAGGGAGGCTGATTCATAGTGGAATAGGGAGAGGAGGAAGTATGGGAGGAATAGACAAACTCTAGGTAGGGCAGAGGGGTTGGAGGGGAAGGGAGGAGGCATGGGGTTATAAATGATGGTGGAATGTGATGGTCATTATTATCCAAAGTATATGTATGAAGATATAAATTGGTGAGAATATACTTTGTATACAACCAGAGATATGAAAAATTGTGCTCTATATGTGTAATAAGAATTGTAATACATTCTGCTATCATATGTAAATAAATAATAAAAAGAAAATTCAGAATTGAAAAAAGTAAGCATAACCTACACAAAGATAATTTAAAATGCTACTAAGTGACATAAAATGAAATTTATACACACCAGAAAATATACTTTTTCTGGTTGAGATAATTTCATATTGAGAAGGTATCGGTTTTCCCTGCATTAGTTTCTTTTTGCTGCTATAATAAGTGGCTTTAAGTAAAAAGAATATATAATCTTAGTGTTATTCTTCCAAAGCACAACATCAGTCTCGCTAAGCTATAATCAAGGTACAACAGGCCTGTGTTCCTTTCTAGGGGAGAATCTGTTGTACCTTTCAGCTTCTAAAAGCTACCTTCCTTCCTTTTAGCGCCATCTAGTCTCCAAAGCCACAATGGTAGGTCAATCCTCAAGTTACATCTTTCTAGTCCACCTGCTGCTTCCCTCTTCCACAATGGAGGACCAGTGAGATTAGACTGGACTCCCTTTCCTAGATAATCTAGAATTACTTGATTATCCATCTCAAAATTCATACCCTTAGTCACATCTGGAAAATCCCTTTTGCCATCCATTTTTTTCCATGAAGGCAATATATTCCTAGGTTTGGAGAATTAGAATCCAAATATCTTTGGAGGGCATATGTGCCCACCACAATCTCTAAACTAATCAAAAATATGGGGATGGAAAATATTTAGTAACTATTTGTCTCAAGGTTCTAGGGTTACAGTATTTAATCATCCAGAATGCAGTGCTATCAAGCCTCCTAGGAGCCCAACAAGGTCACATTGAAATTCCAACAAAATCATAGGATTAGAAAAACTATCTTTGGTGAGCAAAACCACCAGGAATTAAGAAGCATTTTAAATACATTTTTCAATTTATGTGTGTGAGTTTGTGTGTGTGTGAGTTTGTATGTGTGGTACTGCACATTGAACCCAGAGTCTCACCCATGCTAGGCGAGCACTCTACCACTGAGCTACACCCCTGGCCCACATTTTCCAATTCTGAAAACAGCATCATTTTGCCATTTGGTATACTAATTACAAATAGAATTGGCCCTTGGTATTTATGGGGGTTTAGTTTTGATAGCCACTATGTACACCAAAATCTGTAGATGCTCAAGTCCTTACATAATATGGTATGGTATTTGCATATAAGTACATCGTCCAATATATTTTAAATCATTTCCAGATGACTTACAATGCCTAACAATGTAAATTCTTTGTAAATAGTTGTCATACCATTTTGTTTAGAAAATAATGAAAAAGGACTGTACACATTTAATAAAGATAAAGAGTTTTTCCTGAATGTTTTCCATCCATTATTAAATGGAATCCACACATACAGAACCCATGGATATGAAGGGCTGACTATACAGTATCTCCATGTATAGTATACTATTCTGTGGACACAAGCAACCAGAGACTGTAAGGTCCATAGGAACTTAACAAGGAAGATAAAGCACAGAGTTCTGGTAATTTCCCAATATCCATTCCCTCCTCCTTTTTAGTAAGAGTAACCATTATTTGAGCTGGAACCATGGCCACTTTTCCTTGTGGCTACTTATGCTCACATTACATTTTCCTAAGAGTATGAACAGAAATTGTCTGGGGAACTTATAAGTAATGCCTTTCAAGGCAAAACAACTTGCATTCCTCTTCCATTTGTCTCCTTGCTACTAGCTGAACTGTAGATAAAATGTGAGAAAGGAAACTGCACTGTTCGACTGAAAGACTAAAACCATATGTTAAGAATAGTAGAACAACAAGATAAGAGAAAGAGAAGTCCCTCACAAGATGTAATAACACATTAACCTTGGCCTGGTCACTCTGAAACTGTTCTGTGAGGGACAGTACATTTCCAATTTTAAGACATTATTTTGGCCTATTTTACAGCATTCAACTTGTTTCCTATCTAGTACAGGAA